AGCCCATCCATAACTGCAGCATCTCCAATTGAATCATCCCAAATGAGAACAAGAAGAATCCAAACAAAATGTAACCTCTCCCGAGTTCTTCTGCACTGACACTGGTGAAACCATTCTTCTATTAGTTTCCAGTGATTTCATTACTATTGGCTTGCCAGTATTTATCCACTATTCCCAGCAGAGATAAATACATATATATATATATGGTTGAGAAATTAGACACTAGTTTAAAAAATTATTTTAAAAAAAATCTACTATTTGCAAGACATATAAGCACCAAAGACTGGATTCTGCACTATGGCTACAAATTCAGGCCCAATCTATTGGCTGGTAAATGCAGGGTTAAATGCAGAGATTCAGTTTGTTTAATAGGCTTAGGAAAAAATAATTTACATGTAATATTTTCTTTCTTTTTTTCCTTTACTGCAAGGCATTTCACATTGAGAAATCTCAATAAGAAGTCACTTTTACAACTAAAATCTTAATTTCAACCATAATGAACTGTTCTGTTTAAATAATAATGCGTTTATACACATTAGTCACTCTTAGAATAATAAGAGGCCCTCAAGCATTATAAAGTTTTACCTCACCATCTGTGATTCTGTGATTTATGATTTCATAAATTGTTAAGTACGATTAGGAATACTCTCACGGTGATAAAACTGTCTCCTTTATATCTTTATGATATCTTACTGTTTCTTTATTCATTCTGCTGCTTGGAGATGAGACAGCCCAAGCACATTTAAAAGACATTTTTGCTGAAAAAAAACAGATTGCAAAAGCATCTTAAATGACCACATTCTCTTGGACACAGATATGCAGACACCTTCCAAATGCATCACCTGTCCAGTTAATAATCACCTAAACACGGAGATGTTTCATCATCTGGCTACCCACACAGAAAATTGACATTTCCTATGAACATCTATAGAATATAAGTTGACAAATAGAGAAAAAGCAGATTTTAAAAAACCCAACATAATTACCTTTTAAATTGATATTGACATATTGAGACTCCTGGATTTTGAGAAGGAAATAGCTCTGCTCTTTAACAACTGCAACAAAGGTGCATACATACAACTAGTATTTACTTCCATGGAGTATTTGGGGTATAGCTCTCCATGCCTGCAAAGCACAGGGGTAGTAATAGCAATCAGTACAGCAGAATCATTAGTAAGACTTAATCACAACATCGTTATAGACTTCCCAGACACAATTTCAAAAACAACAGTTAAATAGTAGTTTTGTTTGGTCTTTTGATTCATCTCTCTCTCCATCATCCTAGTATATGAGGAAGCTGGTGTTGATTACTCTCCAAAAATTAACGTGGAAGCTTCCCTTCATTTGGTACAACAGTGTCCCTCCCTTTCCCACACTGGTCTATCATCTTCCCAACATTTTACTCTGCTACCCAGTGCCAAAGTCATCCTGTTCTCCTATGTCAATTTGCCCAATGTCCAAACATTTTCCCAAAACATCAAATTGCTTGCCAGCTATAACTTCTGCTCACCCCACTTTACCTCTGCTTTTCCTGTAGCACTGCAAAATGGGAGGGATGGTCTTTTTCTTTGAAGTATTTGATTCAGAGGTGAAATGAAGCTCTCTTTGTCTCCTTTTCTCTGGGTAGGAAAAAATCCAACAGACAGTGAAATAAGCAATGTGCACATTGCCACAAGCCCTCTCATCTGTGGTACCCTGCAAGGACCATGCCACCCACACCATCAGCCTCTCATCCAGCAACAAGAAGACAGGATCATTTATGTTTGGAAAAGACCTCCCAGATTGTCAAGTCCAAGCTTTGATCTAATGCCACCATTCCCACTGAACCATATCAATAAGTGCCTCGTCCGCTCATTTTTTGCACACCTTCAGGGATGGTGATCCCACAACTTGTGGAATCCACAACTGACTTTCTGAGCTCATCACCCTTACACTGCTTTGTGAAGAGTTACTTCCTTGAGGATCTCATCATCCCTGTGGATGATGGCAGACCCAAAATGTCTCAGCAGAGAGCAAGCTGGGCCTTTTGCCATACATGCCAGGGTTGTTCCGTATCCATGCTGTCCCAGGAGGAGGGTGGAGGCAGTTCCCCACCCTCATGATTCTGAGGGACCCCAGAAGCCTTGGTGGAAGTCTGATGGCAGCCTCGGGCACAGGCTCTGTGGAGGTGGGCATCCCTTCCCCTCACCCGAGACAGTGTGTGCCGAGGTGGGCAAGAAGGCCAGTGCCATCCTGGCCAATCTCAGAAACAGTGGCCAGCAGGACCAGGGAAGTTGTTGTCCTCCTGCACTGAGTACTACTGAGGCCACACCTCGAGTGCTGTGTGCAGTTCTGGGCCCCTCAATTCAGGAAGGACATTGAGGCACTGGAATTACTCCAGGGAAGGGCAAAGAAACTGGGGAAGGGTCTGGAGCATGTGTCCTGTGTGGAGTGGCTGAGGGCATGGGGGCTGTTTAGCCTGGAGAAAAGGAGGCTCATGGAGGAATTTATCACTCTCTCTAGTTCCCTGGCAGAAGGCTGTAGCCAGGTGGGGATCATTCTGCTCCCAGGTGACCAGTGGCAGGAGAACACGGTTTTGAGCTGTGACAGGGGAGGTTTGTGTTAGCCATTAGGAAGAATTACTTCACACAGAGGGTGATTAGACATGGGAATGGACTGCCCAGAGAGGTGGTGGGGTCAGCATCCTGGAGGTGTTTACGGAAAAACTGGACATGACACTCAGTGTCATGGTCTGGCTGACATGGCGGTGTAAGGTCGAAGGCTGGCCGCGATGCCCTCGGAGGTCTTTCCAATCCAAGAGATTCCGTGACGGTGATCCACCCGCAGCCGGGCGCTGCCCGCAGGAGCGGGGCCGGCCGGGCCCGCAGCGGCCCGCCCACAGCCCGGCGGTGTCGCGCACGGCCCGCGACCCGCCCGGGCCGGAACGGAACGCGGCGCTCCCGGCCGGCCGCGCCCGGGGCCGGGCGGAGCGGGGCGGGCAGAGCCGGGCCGGGCGGGGGTGGCGGCCCCTGCAGGACAGCCGCAGCCTCGGCAGCCGCCGCCGCGCAGCCGGCGGTGTCAGTGCCACGGTGTCCGCCGGGGAGCGAGAGGCAGCGCCGGCGCCCGCCCGCCCGATCCCCGCGGCCAGGCCCCCGCATGCAGCCCTCACCCTGGAGCGGCGGCGGCGGCGCATCGAGGAGCTCTCGAGGTCCTCCCGGCAGCGGCTGCTGCAGTCGCGGGACAGGATGTTCTCCAAGTTCACCTCCATCCTGCAGCACGCCGTGGAGGCGGTAAGGCCGCCGGCGGGCCCGGCCACGCCGCGCCGGGGATGCGATCCGGGCCTAGCGCCGAGCGCGGAGCGGGGGCTCCGCCTGGGCGCCCCTTCCCCGCTGCCCCGCAGGGCGAGCATCCGCTCCCGGCTCGGCTCTCCGCGGGCCGGGGAGGCGGAGGCCGAGCTGGGCCCCGGCGGGAGCACGGGAGGGGAACGAATGGCCCATTGCGGCCCTGGAGAGCCGCGGGTGCCGGGGCAGGAGGGAGCGGCGGCGGCCCCGCGCGGCTCCGGCTGTCACCGCCGGGCCTGAGGGCAGCCTGGCCCGGCCCCCACCCGGCCGCTGCCCGGCTGTTCGGCGAGACAAACAATACAGGAGAACAATCAGGAAACTGCCCAGCATTTCCATCTCGTCGTCACCAGTAGACAACAGTCGCCGTCAGCGGTGCTTTAGCAGGATGTCGTCAGTTTCAAAGCGACCCTTTCCATCCCTGCTTTATGCTGTCATTGTGCGTGGGGGTCAGGCTTGCCGGGGCTGTGGGTGCAGCGAGGTTTCCTGACGGACTGGGCAGAGGAAACGGGGCCTGTTCGCGAGCTCCATTGCTAAAGGCCGCGTTCCGCACTGCCTGGCCACGCCATTTATTTTTTGCTTTTCAGTGAGGTGGGGTCTTGGTAGTAATTCCCTGCCTTTCAGAGCCTCTCCCATAAAACAGCACACCCAGGAGACTTTGAGTGTAAAGAGGTGATAAAAATGGGTAGGGAAATACTGATGTGAAGGTGGAAAGTGTTGAAGAAAAAAATGTTTAAATGGTTGAAAAAAGAGCTTGCAGGCCAAGTCCAAATAATTGAAATGAGAGCCTGCATGCCAAATGCTGCCTCATCTGAGGGGCAGCCTTTGTGCATTAATGTATGCTTCGATGCTGCACTTGAGCATATGCCTGTCTTTTTATGAGCCTGTAGTTCTGCAGGAGTATTCAGGTTTAAAAGTTAAGCATGTATTAATTACAGGTTTCTAGTTTGCTTTTTTAACGGTGTAGTGGCATATGGAAAGAAATGTTTTAAATGATGATAAAATGTTTTACTTGAAAACATTCAGGCCACACATGAATGCCTTCAATAGACAGTGGTTTCATTAGAGAGGAAACAGAAATTAGCGTCTGCCTGACTAAAGAAAGTTTGTTGTGGTGAGCTGTGCCACATTTTGAATAACAGAAATAAGAGTGGATGACTGAGAGATGCAGGATTGGAGGAGAAGGTATTCTTTCAGGTCTACCAATTCGAAAGATGTAGTAGAGGTTATTATTAGGAGAGTGTTCACATTATTGATGTGTGCAAAAATAAATAAAAAGGAGTGCATTTAATTGAGATCCAGCAAAAAATAGGAAAAACAAATGAGCTGAATGGAACAGGAAAAGAGTAGAGATAGTAGGGACTATGTGCTGGTTTTGATTAAAAAACCCAAACAAAAATACAAAAATATATTGCTACCATCAGTTTGCAAGTGAGTGCTGTCCAAAAACATGCTGTTTGTCCTTGCTCAGCTCTGGTGTCCCTTTTAGAATTGCCTCATCCTGCTACCACCACCGTGGTAGATCTCCTGATAAATACTGTACTATTGCATTTACAGGATTGTGACAGATACTAGGAATGAAACATAGAATTGCAAAAGTAGGAAGAGACTAAGAATGTTTATTTTTAAGTTTGACCCAGTAATATAAAGACAGAACTGTGAAATAAAAATTTTTAACCAGTTTGGTGGCTGTATGTGGCTTTAAGTTGTTTCATTCTCCCTGTAGTAATAAGATGTGGTCTGCTTAGCTTTGCTATGAGGAAGTGACAACTGTAAATACTAAATATTAGCTCAGTCCACTTTGATGCCGCCTTTTTCACAACCAAGAGAATTTGGAACATCATTTATGCTTACTGTTTTTGCTGGGGAGTGAGTGTGATGTGGGCAGCCTCAATTGGATTCTTAACCCTGAATATCAGCAACAGTACTAGTAAATACGGTATCAGTTGTCAAAAGTTTTGGGTGCCTACCCCAGGGTATGTAGAGTTGCAACTGTACAATTTTCAGCTGAGCTGGGCACTTAAATGCACTTGAAGAGCTTGGGTTTAGCTTTCATGGGTGGGACTTCCTTAAGTGAGAAAGGTTTGGACAGCCCTTCTGCCCTGTCCTTTCTTTTGCACATCAATTACATAATGCTCCTGCCCTGCCTCGGGGCCCACAGGCCTGCAGATTTCAGAGAGTGCATTTGAACAGTAAGGGTTCCCATGCTCTTAGGTAATCGCTGTTATCTTACCCTCAATGTGCCATCCCTCTGAACTCTGACAGGAGTTCCAAAGGTTGACAGTCTGGTAGACATGGCAGTATTTGCCTTTTACTTGTTGTCAGTGTATCACTCTTGGACTGATTGCCCTTGTGACGGGACTGTGCTTGAGGCAAGAATAAGGGATCAGTTGCTCTTTACTAAGGTGTTTTCTTACCAAGGTTTTTTCCCCAGAGAGGTTGTGGTGGTGTTCAAGTCTAGCCTGGATCGGCTTAAAACAGCGTGGCCTAGTAGAAAATGTCCTGCCCATGGTAGTGGGGGTCGAACTACATGGTCTTTTAAGATCCCTTCCAACCCAAACCTGTCTATGATCCTGTGATTCTCCTTGAATAGCTCAAAACTTTCAGTCTTTTCTGACTAAATTGCCCAAGTGTTCGAAACCATAGTCCTAACTTTCATTGCTATTGGATTCTAGTTTTTTGCAACCTCTTATCTTATGTCAATCCTGCCAATATCTTAGATACTTTTTGCTTTTTGGATTTCTCTGCAGCATCCAGATGAGCAAGCCCCACCTCAGTTACCCTGCCAACAGAGCATCCTTAAATTGAGTTGGATGTGTTAGTGAGAATGGTGGATAGGACTGCCGTCTTTGTTCCGTTATTTCAGGGCAGAATAGAAATGTTGTTGCTACATGGGGTTCATATTATTAAATCTGTGACAGTTTATATATGGCTTGTCCTCGAGATGTTTTCTTTCTGCTATGCATTTCTGATCCACTTTCATCCCAAAGGGCTATCCATGAGCACTTTATATTGTCAGCAACAACAAAATGTAATGTACAATAACAAAGCAGCGAGTTAGACTTATTTTGCTCTTACCTTGTGCTTTTCACTCATGTTTCCTTAGACAAAATAGCTTGTCTGTGAGATGGCCACTCAGTGTTCAAAGGACTTTCATTTTTGTTTGATTTGGGCTTTTGGATATTTCACCTTAATAGTCAGTTCAAAGGGATGTTTTTGAGCCGTGTACTTTGCAGGAAATATATAATTTTGGTTGGCTTGAATTTTGCAGTTTGCTGTCAAACAGGAATGTTTGTACCACGCAATTGAATGAATGAAGATTTTGGTGCCTGCTGCAGATTCTCAAGACCTCCTCTCTACCAGCCTGTTATTCCACTGTGTCTCTGACACTGGTACATTACTGTATTTTCAAGTAGTTTCTGTCTATATTTTGAAGCAAAACTCAGCTTTGAAAGAAACCAAGTTACTTGGTACAGTCAGTGCCCCAAAATCATGAACTGCATAACTGATTAGAATAGAATTTATTCCTCTTGAACCCACTTTGTTTGATGTAATGACCTTATATTACTTGGTGTTTTAATCTTGTGCTGGTATAAACAAATTAGCTGACAAAATTTAATGCATGACTTGCAAGCAGTCTTAATTTTATATGTGAGAGCAGTGGCCATTATAAACTCTGTGCATTCATCACTGAAGATCAAGTAAACCTTCAAGCATTATTCCTTTTTCACATGTTGTCTCAGACCATTCACACTGGTACAGTAGTAAGAGTGAAGAAAAACATCAAGTGACTGTGTCAGTCAGGGCAGTGGGCATTCACTTCCCCTTCCTTTCTCTTTGACCCAGTTTCTTCTGTCTTTTTTTTTTTTTTTTTTACTCTGGCATCTGACCAGACAGTACCTGTTATTTTTTTATACAGTGTTCTCTTTTCTTTGTGAATTTGCCCTAAAGATATTGAGGCATATCCCCAGCTTCTGATGTTTCCATCCTTTCCAGTATTGAATTGCACTTCTGAAAAGCATACGTGAAAAATATGACAATTATTTTTACATGCACAAAAGATTTGCTGTTAAATACTGCATATATATAAGTTTTTTTTGCTCTTTATGTTATTTCTTCCTGCCTAAACACGAATTCTTTATGCTTTGGAAAACAACGTGGAATTGTATTTTGGACAAGTTTTGTAATGAGCAGACTGTCCATCAGGTCAAAGATCTGTAGCTCTCCTGAGAACAGCACTTTTCCTGAAAGGAGTGGGCTTTGATTGTTTGTTACATATTGTCACCAGAAGAATAAGGCAGCATGTGTTAAGTTCAGCTCACTCCCGGGAAGCCCAACTGCTGGAGCTGGGCACCAGATGGAAGATCTTGCTAATCAGAGGCTGCTCCAGTGGGCTGCAGTTCAGTGGTGTTCAGTGAATTTTAGCTATTTTGTATACCAACACCTACGCTGCAGGCATGAAGATTATGGAGGTTTTTTTCCCCCAGAGGAGGAGAGCTTCACTTTGAGATTTGGAATCACTGAGAACATATTTAATTACATCAGGATTAATTACAGAGTCACAGAATATTCTGTGTTGGGAGGGACCCACAGGGACCATCAAGTCCAGTTCTTAAGTCAGACCACAACCTTGGTGTTGTTAGCACCATGTCCTAGCCAGCTTATGTAATGGGGAGAAATAAGTGCATTTTTAAGGTAATGCCTTTAAATCAGACAAGTAGCAAGAATTAATGGCATTCACGAGGAATTCTGGTTTGCTTCAGAACCTCCATACGAGTACTTACACACTAGAGTGTTTATTCAGGCTGGCAGCTTTAACATGTATTCCTTCTCAGCTGATAGCTAGTAATTCATCCTAAAAATAGATACTATAACCTCATACTAGTGCTACCTGTCCTAGTAGGGTTAAAGGATGTCAACCAAGTGTTATCATTTCCTAATGCTTTTCAGTGCTTGGCTTTCTACACATACAAGGTGGTATCTTGGTCTTCCTTTTGTGTCTGAATAACTAAATTAAGAGGATTGCTTGGGTTTTGGGTTTTTTTTTTTTTTAATTTTTTCCCTTTATTTTTGTTTGTTTGTTTGCTTGTTTTCCTGTGGATTTTTGTTGAGTTTTTTGATCAGGATCTGTCAGGATCTGCAGGATCTGTCCTAGAGGTTTTTTTTTTTACCTCTGAGAAGAGTCCCTAGAGGCATTTGTAGGGAGGGAGAATGTCTATATCCACAGTTCTCTCCCATGGTGGATAAATTATTGACAGTGCTGAGAAGTGAAATCCTTTTCCTGGCACTGATCAGAGGCACTAAATTCATCTTGAGGCAGATGAGACGAGAAGAAGTGGAGAGGAAAATCACATCAGCCAAGGATAAATCTTTAATGTTATCTATCATGTGTTACTTTGGAAATAGAGTGGTCTGGGAGGCCTGTATTCCTCAAAATTTGTCCCTGGGTTATTCATCAGCTGGCGTTGAGGTTTTGATTCAGCTTTTTTTTAACAGAAATGATCATTACATTGCTTGAAATACACATCTAGTGCAGCTAGTGTGACATACAGAGCATGATGCACAATATCATATGCTCAGTCTTCAGTTTGTTTGGTTATTCTTCTGAATTTCAATAACTTAGTAAATGTCACAGTGAAATAAACTGCTTTTATGCAGTGTGGGGTGTTCAGATACTGTGTGATAGCTGCTGTGCTAATGTGCTGCTCTGAGTGCCCAGCCGTGGAACTCAGTGAGTGCACAGCCTGCCAGGGACAGGATAAGCACTGTCAGTTTGGTTTTCCTGGTTGCCATTTCCAAGGGCACATTTCCACCCGGCATGGAGGCTGAGATAGTTGCCAAGCACCACTACTTTTCCAGAGTCTTGCATTCCAAAGTCCTGTGTGCAAAGGGCCATTAACAATTAGCAATGCACATATCTTGGCATGGCATAATCGTCATATACTGGGCTTCAACTTAACCAAGATAAATTTAAGTGTCATTAAATTCAAGGCAAAGAAAAGACTGATGAGGAAAACATGCAGGGTTTTTTCAAAGAAACCAGCAACATCGGGTAAAGACCATATGAGCCTATACTGTACTAGGCTATATATGAACCCTGTGTCCCTGAGCCCTTCTTTGCCCAGGAACTGAGACAACACAGCACATTTCAGACCCTGTGGGGGAGACCCTAGAGGAGTTCAGAGTTCTTAGTCTCAAATGTGGTATCTGCAGCTCCTGGGGAGAAAACTTCTTCAGTTAACCTTTCTCTGTGTGGTTAACTGACCCCTGGCACAGGTTCCTGGAGAGGCTGCAGAGTCTCCATCCTTTGATACATTCCAAAGCCATCTGGACATGCTCCTGAGCAGCCAGCTCCAGGTGACTGTGCTGTAGCAGGGAGGCTAAGCTGGATGGTCTCCAGAGGCCCCTTCCAACTTCATCCCCTCTGAGATTCTGAGAAGGACTGGACTCCATTCCCTGTCAGGATGGTTCAGCTCCTTACCCTTCCAAAACAGGCACACCAGTTTATACTTGGGATTCTTTCTGTTTGCCCACAGGGCTCATTGCTGCCATTCTGTCCAGTGATAATCCCCTATTTCAGGATAACCTGTAAAAGAATGACTTGAGGACTTGATGAGCCAAAAAAAAAATAAAAAAAAAAGCCTCAAGCAAGTAGGATTAGACCTCAATAACAACAGATCCTCATGTGACCTATTGAATGTTTGGGGTTTTACCAGCTCAAAACATTCAGGGGCACAAATCCACTGCTTGTCTCAGCTCTCACTTTGGAGAACAGAGTGGTGAAATGACTGTGGTCCTTTATTCACAGGCTGCCTATGGTGTAATGGACCACAGGCCACCTGTGTCTCAGAGGGAAAGGGGCAGTGCTGATGGTGACTGCATGGGTGGGCTCCTTCTTGCACGTTGTTATTCCTGGATGCTGCTCATGCCCAGCCAGCCATCCCAAACTCCTCCAGGAAAGAAGAAACTTCCTTTTCTTGCAGAAATAAAATAATAAACATATTTGTTTAAAAAAAAAATAAAAACCCGCCAAGCTTTGAGTATGGGCCTAAAAAAAAAAAAAAAAATTTGAAAAAAGAAACAAAACCTAACAGGAAAAAAGGCATGGTAAAACTGGATAAAGCAACTAATTGGTATTTTTGAGGGAGCAGACGGAGAGAACAGAGTGTACAGAAAAGCAAGAAGGCATCAAGAGCAGATGTGAAAGAGCATGATTTTTCCTACAGGACAAAAGTGTGGTCTAACCAATACAAGCATGCATTTCTAGTGTTGCTTTGCTGTAGGAGCAATTGCTTTTCTTGCTTCAAATAGATTGTCTGGTGATAGAGACATCACAGAGATTATTACTGATGTTTACAAGCAGGCAGTGTGGCATGGGGCTCAGCCATGAATAATGAATGTAGTCCTTGTTAAAGAGCAGAGAGTAACAACTGTAGCACTATCTGCAGCACTTTACGTCCAAGTATAAGATAAATTTGAATTTATTCTCTGAGCAAATATGTTCATTCCATTTCTAACTGGTTTTTGTTGTGGTTTTTTTCCCCACAGCTCGCACCTTCCCTTCCATTACAAGAAGATTTTGTTTACCACTGGAAAGCAATCACCCATTACTACATAGAGACCTCAGGTAACAGAAAAAAGCATTCTGGGTTTGTCTTTTTATTGTGGAAACTAGAATTCAGAATTTCAGTGTTTTTAAAAAGTAAAGCTCAAGAAATACTAATATGAATAATGTCTTTAATCAAAATACAAGCAATAACTAGTAATTAAAAATATCATGTGATTCCATCCGTAAAAGTCGGCGTGAAAAATGGTTGAAGTCTTGTTTCTTGAGTACCATGTAGAGAACTGCACCTTTTTACATCTGACCCAGTTTCTGCCTTCACATACTCTGTTTAATCTAAACAGACAGCTGCAGAAATGCAGTCCCTGCTGTTAACATTTTTATTGCTTTGCATCAGGGATTTTCTTTTTCTTCACAAGATTTTAACAAAAGTAATTTTGTGGTCATAGATTTTACCAGACGCAGATGGATTCCATGTGCTCAGTATTAGTTACTTTTGCTTTAGTGTCTTGTCTCAGTGTTAAGTATTTTGATGGCACAGACAAGTTTTATTAAACCTTACATGTTACGCTGCTCTTCTTAAAAATAGAGACTATGATGAAATATTGGTTTAGTTGCTTTTTTAAAAACTCTTCTCTGGTTTGGTTTTTTTCCCAACAATTATGCAGTATGTAAATTTTTAATTTTGTACCTATTTATGAAACAGTTATGTTTTAAGAATGAATCTTGCTGTGCTTTCCTCAAGCTTATTAGTTCTGACTTTCTGCTGGAAGAGCTGTTGAGTCTGTGTTTGTGTCTGATGATCTTGTTTATATCAATATTTGCTCGTAAAACTGCAACGTGACCTTTGGTTCCAAATACCCATCTTTTGGAACACTATGTGATGTTTCCAAAGGTGGAAATGACAGGGTGGCAAGGAAAACTGACACCTGCAGTGACGTGGTGCTGAATAAAAGCTGACCTCTCTCCCAGAGTTTCAGAAGTGTTTTGAAAAAGATGTTTCCACTCGGTGGATATATTTCTGTCCTCTGCAGCAGGAGCAGAATTATGTGTAGGAAATTCACGCAAAACACTCCAGGCTAACTGGAGCTCGTGGCAGAGACCAAAATCACTCTGACATGGCAGTTTCCCTGTGTGATCTTGTTGCCAGTTGCATGCAAGTGACAAGTTATTTTTAGACTATTGCGTAAACAGTAGTAACCATTTCCCTAGGATAGTTGTTCATGTATAACTCAACTGAAAAACATAAAAGGAAAATCTTCATGTGTGGATATGTTCTACAGTATGTGAATGCCAGTTCCTACTTCCATAAATCCACTGCTGTTTAATAACTTTAATATAATAAAATCAACGTCTTACCCTTTCATTCATAATGTTTGGCTGGATTCTATTTTAATGCAGAAACTACAAAAAAGAAATCTAAAAGTTTTTGGAGAATAAATAACATAGAGTTTGAATTTTCTTTGTTGTTATCAGCAGAAAAACCATTTATTTAGTGATCTAGTTTGTAAAGGAACTGATCAGCTGCAAATTAAGCTGATGTTGGAGGCCATTCACAGATTTGAGAATACTGTATGAAGGGTCAAAGAGGAAGTTATCAAGACCTAGTTCATCCTAAACAGAAGATTGAGAATTGTACCTTCTCTTCCTTGTCTTGCTGTCTGGCAATAGAAATTTTCCTTTTTTGACCGTGTAATTACTGCATGTTTTGAATTTTGGCACTTCACCTTTTCCCCACTGCAAGGTCAGATACCTGCCCAATGCATATTCCAGTGTTCATGTTCAGATACATTTCTGAAGTTTTCTTTAAGACATGTTAAAAACTTTCATTGTGTATCGAGTTCTTTAAGTGGATGTCATAAGTCTTAAATTTGGAACTGAACTTAAGTATAAGGGCAATTTTTAAATCATTCTTAATTACCTATTTCTTTTATTTAGATGACAAAGCTCCTGTGACTGATACAAATATTCCCTCTCACCTGGAACAGATGTTGGATATTTTAGTTCAAGAAGAAAATGAGAGGGAATCAGGTGAAACAGGACCATGTATGGAATATTTGCTGCATCACAAGATTCTGGAGACACTCTACACCCTAGGAAAAGCTGATGTATGTATCTCTCAGCAGAACAGATTATCTCTTGTGTGAGTTCCTAGTTGTTACTGAGACTGAAGTTCTACAGTAGGTGGTAGTGTGGGACACAGCTCTAGCAAAGAGCTGCTTGCTTATATTACAAATATACCAACATCTATCACCATATTACCAGCATACTACAAATAACAGCCTTTTGCAGGTGTGATCAGGGTGAGACAAACCCCTGAGGTGCTGGCAGTGGTGAGATTCACCATTCTAATAATGCTGATGGTGAAAGTAGAAGTAGGAGAAACATTTTTGTTCAGTCTATAGAGTTTTTCTGGCTACTGCATGACAGTATTATCCCTCTCTGCCCTTTCTTAAATGTTGGGGGATTCTTGGGTGAAAGGTGCTGTGTTAAATACAAATTTTCGATTAACTTTTCTGAATGTATTGAGCTATTGCTCAGAAAGACTTTGATATCAGAAAACATTAATTTGAGTTGATCTTCAGACAGCTTTCCTACCTTGGCAGTATTGTCTGGTTCTTCATGTCTGCTTTGTGGCACACATGAAGTAGAATGTTTTGTATCACAGTGCAGACTCAGGGAGGCATGGCTTATCCCTTTCCAAGGATAAATGGAGCTCTCCAGGGTTTCCTTCTCAGTCAGTCTTCTACACATTGTCATGAGTTTTTAATTGATTTTACATAAGCAGGCAACACAGGACAGTGGCTGTCTGAGCCCGAGATGTTCCTTGCTCTGGAAGGGCCAGACATCTGCAGTACCTGTTACTTTATCAGCTGTCCTACAGTCAGGCTAAAACACCTGCTCCAGCTGGGCTTAGAACCACAACACTGCTGTATTAAAGATACTTGCTCAGAAACAGCTCGTTCAGTAATCTCTAAATGTTGTCAAGAAACCAAGATGAAATGGTGACATATGTGAAGTGGGTAATTAGTAGTAGTGTTTCTAAGAGTTGAGAGAAGTCATTCTGTACTCATACAAATATGTCTGTACAGGCAATTCTTGTACAGCCTGTCTTTACACTTTGCCACTTGTGAGTTGATACATCTGAAGTAAACACACAGTTCAGTGCTTGCAAGATGTTGCAAAGATCTGGTGCAAAATGAATAGTTCCCTTTCACAGCAGTCAGCTAGACTTACTGCATTACTGTGGCTGTGCCCTGATGGTATGTATCTTGCTATTCTGTTCAAAGAATTGCTTGGCAACTCTGCAAGGATTAGGGATTAAAAATCTAGAGATAATTACTTAGAAGGGAGAGCCATGTTGCCACCTCAGCTTCATTTGGACATGCAAATGAGGGAAATTATGTGGGTTAAAATTAACAGCATTTATTAACATGGTTAATAAATTAGTTATTAACTAATTAGTTTGGGGGAATTTAGCTAGGAACAAAGATACGTAAAGGTCCACAAGCCATCAGATCTCCTGGAGACAAGAATGTGGTTTCATGTGATGTGGTGCATTAGGGACAGTAGAACAAGGGTCTACATATTCTACAGATATTTGTGATTTATATTCTGCTCAGGGAAGGCAGCAGCTTTCTCTTGTCCTGGACCATCTGTGCATTTATAAACACTTTAGCTGTCTACGGTTAATTGCTCATGACTTTAAGAAACCTTCTGTAGGTATTAAAATTTTTATAGTTTATCATTCTGTATTTGTATGTTCTGACTCACTGAATTGCTGGATTTTGTGGCACAGTACCTTAAAAGACATCTGACCTGTAGCAAATTAATTCTGAGTTAATTTCCCCTTATCACTGTAATGATACAGAATATTTTCTGCAAAATTGGTAGAAGTTTTCCCTAGAGCAATTAACTGAAAGTATGAATAATTTGAAAGAGAAAACAGTAATGAGATGTAACATTTTGTATTGATCTCTATTAATATTGATAAAAATAAAATGTTAACAATTGATGGCTGTAAAAATACTTTTGGTTAAATCATTTTTTAATTGTTTAACTGTTTAATTAGCCATTTTTAACTGTTTAATTAGCCATTCTGAGTGAAAAAATTACATCTGTATTTTTCTCCACATTTATTGTATTTTTGTTGTTGTTCATTTGTTTTTGTTTTAGTGTCCTCCAGGAATGAAACAGCAAGTTTTGGCTTTTTATACAAAACTTCTTGGAAGAATTCGGCAGCCTCTTCTTCCTCACATAAATGTGCACAGGCCAGTGCAGGTACTGTTCAGATTTTAAGTAAACTGTATTTTTGCATGACAAGTTTCTTTTATTCTGCTGTAGCTAATGTTATCTTTAATTCTTCCAATTTCAAGTGAATTAAGGAAATTGCTTGGGTGCCAGATCAGTTTGTTTCTTTTAATGTGCTAATGATTAGAGTCTTGGACTGCCACTGCAATGCAAGTCATAAATAATAAAGAAAACTTGTTTGCAGCACTCTAGATCCAGAGCAAATGTTCCAGTCAATACTCATACATAATTGTAGTGTGTATATAGAAGAAGAATTCAGTCTGTTATTCCTAGAAAAAGCAATAACTTTTTGTCTTAATTGTTCACTTTACGTGACAGAAATTAATCAGGCTGTGTGGTGAGGTTCTGGCAACACCAACAGAAAATGAAGAAATTCAGTTTCTCTGCATAGTATGTGCAAAGCTGAAACAGGATCCATACCTAGTCAACTTTTTTCTTGAGGTGAGTAAATCAATTCAAAATTTGACAGGTGTATTTACTGTGTCATACACAAAATCTAGTGGAGAACTGGTGGTGTCACATTGTACTGTTATTTTTTATCCTGTGATATTAGAAGTCATGGTGTTCAGATTTTTTTTTTCTCCCAGAGACTTTATACATCTGATTTTCACAAGAATTTCATTCAGGGTTCACAAATACACCTGCCCAGGGTCCTTTACCTTTGCAATGAAAGTGCCTTTACAGTAGGGATGTGAGTTGCAGTGTAAAACACTGTGTGAGGGAGACCTTGGGCTTCTTGTTTTGTTTTTGTCATCCCAGTGAAGACCCAGGGACAGATTGCAGGGGGCACTGAAACCTTGCAAGTTTGCTGAGTGTTCTGCAGGACTGGGCCCTTATTTGATAGTGGCACATGTGTTGGAGCTGCAGTGCCAGCTCACAATCTACAGTACAGCACCATCTTCTATCTGTAAGACAGCCTGTGTCTTTACTGCTTCCTTTAACATGTGGCATTATGAAATCAGAGTGGGAGGATAAACAATTTCTAGGCTGACTTTCAGTTCCTATTTAGAAGAAGCATAAAAAATTGGTTTATAAAAGTCCACTTAGAAATGCCTTTTGCTCCCATTTTGCTCTTTCCTGTGGTGACAGTCTCTATTAAGTATATGAAATTTAGTTGAAAAATACTCCTTCAGGACTATTTTACAAGCTTTCCACAAACAAGATCTGTGACAGCAGAGACTGCTAAACTGCAAAAAGATGTTATTTTCCATTAAGTATGTGACTATCATTTGCATGTCAGTAGTAAAGAGTCCATCTTGAGTTTATTTTTACCTCAGTTAAGTATTATCCTGATTGCCATTGAATCCACTGTAGTTGTACAAGCAGCAGAAATGGTATGAGGATTGAAAAGTTAATGTTCAAACATTAGAAGCACTCAGAAGCAAACAACTGCATATATTACATGCAAAATATGGTAGAATTCTAAACCAGGATTACTTTTAGTGTTATTTTTATAAGTTGTATGGTTAAAACCTCTTAAATAGTGCCCTTGCAATCAAACCTGAGAACTCCAGTCATAAGAGCCACAAGTGTTTTCTCACTTTATTAGTGTTCTTCTCCAAAATAGCAAGATTCCAATATTAAAAAACAGACATTGAAAAACAGATAATTCCAAGTTTCAAGAGGGTCTCTAGTTTTAGAAAATGTTGGCTGTGGGGTTCAGTCAAGCTGGCAAACATTTCTTGTAGCTCCTGTTACTTCACAGTATTATTTTAGGGGTTGTAGCCTAAAGAATTTGTCTTCACAACTTGTGATGGTTGTTTCCAAATCAATTATGTGGGGTGCAGAATTGTCTTCATTAGAACAGATTATTCTGGTTGTTCACATTTGGCCTCTTAGAGGTGCTGTTGTGACTTGATCACTTTCAAATGCATGAAAGGGTACATTTACAGAATTCTGTGTGGCATTTCTATCTCCAGTCTCCAACACTTATAAGATGAAATGCAGATGGATCTCTCCAGAGAGTGTTTGTATCTGTTAGTTTTGCTTCCTTCTTTGACTGTTTCCAATCAGTTTATACAGGATTTTATGAACATAAAAAAACTGACTGTGTACAAACTCACTTCCTATCTATGATTCCATGCCCAATAGTTTGTTGATAGAACGCTGGTTTATATTTTAAATTTACCTAAGCATATATATATTATTGGTTAATCAAGATAGGTGAAATCTTTCACCTATATTGCTTAACCAATAAGCCTACATGGCATAACTGTATCACCTGGGCAATTTATGTCTCTTGTGGAAATCAGAACTTGAATAATGTCATTCTACTTTTTTAAAACTTTAGGATCCCTATACTAATTTTATTTTAGTATTAATGTATTTCTTTTTTTAAACTAAGTTTTTCTAGTTCTTGTGCAGAGAGAAAGAATATACATTGTAATGTTTATTTATCGCCTCTACCTCAGTTATATTTTAGGGTAAACCTACCTCATCCCATTTTAGGTGAACTACTCCTTGCAACTGATTGTTTCTGGCAAAGGGACACTTAACTCTCTGTGCTTCAATTTCTGTTCTTGAGACCTTGAAAAAGTTCTAATATAGTAGCTAAATAATTATATCTTCATTTTATAAAATGAACAATAGTTTTACTGTTCCTTTCTATTTTCAGTACTATGAATTATCATCTTTATATTTCTCACCACAAATTGAGATTCTCATCAGCTGTGATATTACTTGATGTTTTCATAGAACTCTTTTTAACTGTATCAGAATTTCCATGACAGATTTTGAAACTGATGTTTACAGATCACAAAAATACAAAAATGTGGTTTTACATTATTTGCTCTTTGTTGAAGCTGAGTACTTTGTTTAGAAAGCATTGAATATGTGTTTTATGTAACCTTTTCTATTAGGTCATTCAGGATCCTGTTTTGCACCTTTGCAGGAGGCAGGTGAGCAGCTGAGCTGCACAATTGCATGATCAAACAATAGGAAGCCTAAATACACACAAAGATTCTGCCTGTGTGTTATTCAATGTACAAACTGCTTTGTGTCACCTGCCAACATAAGAGTAATAATCTATGGAGACATTTCTCGGGGCATTCATACATTTATATATGGTAGATCTCTCATCACTGCTTTAGCTAAATAAACAATGGCCTTTCATATGGCAGAAGAATCCAGACATGAAGTAATAAGCCACTGTAAGACAAAATAAGTATTTTACAGAATATTGCCCAGTTTTTGAAAAAAAAAGCTTTTCCCTTTAGCAACCATGCCTGCAGCTTGAGTGGTGCCAGCAACAGTGTTAAGTCCAGGACTGAAGTGCTGTTCCAACCTTTATGTGCAAGGGTCACTGTTGTGATTCAGCTTTTTCTTTGTATTGATGAGGATATTGATACTGAAGGACTGCAGAAGCTCTGGTGAAGGCAAACTTGGTTCAGGCAGATTTCTTTTTGTTGCTTTGCCAGCCTTGCAGTTTTCACACTGTCAAATAAAACCAAAGCATATTGAAGCAGTAATTTTTCTACTGCATTCAAAGATGATCTTTATTTTATAGCATGCAGTCTGCTGCTTTTACCACTGGTTTGCTTCTCCAGGGAATTGGTTCTGTGAGTGCATCACAATACCCAGTGCAAATTCCCCACAATGAATGCACAGCACTGAAGCAAGTGTTCAGCTCTCCAGTTTGTTCCCTCACTGTCATGTACTCAGTCCCTGCTGGTTTGTCTGTACTAAAATCCATTAACCCCAAATAGTTAGTCTTTTAAATTATTAATGCTTGAGATATGTTTGTAATAATTTTGGTGTTATCATAGAGAAGGGAACCGTTTGGATTTATAATCTCACTACAGTTTTCACTTGAAAGAAATGTCTTGTGCTGCCTTCTAATTTATGGTTCCAATAAAGTATTCCTCACCTGTGCTTATGCCAGAAGAACACTGAATTCTTGCCTTTCTGTGCATTTCTTCATGGTATCACAGAGCACAAATTTAAATGTCTTTTTATGTGCTGGAGACAGATTTATGGGAAGACAGATCAGTTGCTTTTTTCCAGGCAAAGCAGAGATGATTGGGAGCTTCCAAGAAGGTTCTCTGTGACTTTTTAGAGTATCCAGTGCTCAGTAATAACTTATAATACCTTTGTCCATTCAATCTACTCAATTTTTTCTTCTTGAGAAACACAATTTGAGACTACTCTGCTGTCAGAAAAGGTGTTTCTTTCCCTTTCCTGTTGAAGGTAAAATCTCAAGAAATTTAGAATTATTTTACTTGGGTGATTCCAACTGGAAATAGGGTTTCAGACATTAGATGAATGTGAAGCCTTGACACAGAAAGGAATGTTTTATAAAAAGTGCCAAGTTCTAAAGATGTCACCCGTAATAGAAATTAAAAACCTCTGTCAAATTGTGGGCAAATCAAGTGAGTATGTGCCTTCAGTAGTGAAAGAAAAAGCTGCCTTCCTTTTGTAAATGGCATATTCAGCCTTGAAGCAAAATGTATAGGGCTTAAGAGAAGTTTAAGCAGATTTAAAAGTGTCCTAGGTTTATAAAACCCATGCTCCCACAGCCCTTTACGTGTTTTACATGGTTACTGTATCCAGCCTTGACTACTTCAAATGTTGATGTTAAAAAAATTGCTTTTAGTAAACTCCTGCTTCAGGATGAACAGTAATTTCAGCTGTGTAATTCCATAAAATCCTTTGCAGAATAAGTTAAAAGCAATGGCTCTCCAAGGATCAGCAAGTGTAATCATAGAAGACATGATAAAAGACCAAGAGTCTGTGACAGACACGGGGCAGCCTGGCCAGCCTGAGGAGACGCCCGGTGCTGCCGGAGCCGAGCGCATGGAGAAGGAAGATGAGCTCCCACAACAGGCAGAGGAGCTCTCTTTCAGTCTGGATGAGCTCAATGTCGCAACATCACCTGAGTCCTCCACTGCTTGTCCAAATCAAGACTATAATTTAGTGAATTCTCTACTAAACCTCACTAAAAGTCCTGTGAGTTGGTTTTTTTATTTGGTTTTTGGGGTTTTTCCACTCTGCGTGATAAAATGAAATAGCTGGATGCTGTGTGAAGTGGGCTGAGGTGAATAAACACACTGTATTTTAGCTATAAAAAGTGAAATGAGGGGTTTTTGCCGGGGTTTTTTTGTAAATTGGCAGGTTTTTTTGCAAATTCAGATTCAAGTAGAAATACTATTTTAGAAAATAAATACTAAGCTTGTTGATGGTAATATAAGTGGGTCTTTTAAGAAACTTATATAGGGTGCTGTATGTTTCACAGAAAAACTACACAGGATAATCAGAAGGCTAAATATATCACAAGAGAATGTTTTTAAAACTACAGTCAATTGTTCTGACTTAACCAAACCCACTCTGTAATGGCACTGAGCTATCTCTAGGAGTGGGTTTTCTTCTAAAAACACCTGCTGTATGTGTTACCAAGATCAATCCTCAAATTCAGACTTAGATTCTCTCAAGAAAATTTAGGAGAGGTTTGGGTAAGTCTATAATTGCTGCAGCAGTGCTGGAGAGCAGAAAACCAAATCTACCACTGTACCTTATTATTGTTACATGAGCAGTTTACAGGATTTAGTATCTTGGTCTCAAGCTGACCTACAGTTCTAGTTCTGTCAGCTGCCATTCTTGTATTTCACACAAAATCAAGTGAGAATCTTTATTTTGTAGCATCCAAATTCACTAGAGTTAATGGGTGAGAAGGCAACAAGAATAAATTTATTTGGTCACGGTGGAGGGATGGAGAGGTTTCATTTGGAAGGTGTTTGCTTTTTGATTTCCAGTGGCTTTCATTCACCCTCTGATTAATTCTTCCATGCCCTTCTGCCAGGACGGCCGGATAGCTGTGAAGGCCTGTGAAGGTCTCATGCTTTTGGTGAGTTTGCCAGAACCAGCAGCTGCCAAGTGCCTGACTCAAAGCACTTGTTTATGTGAATTGTTGACAGACAGGCTGGCCACCCTCTACAAAGCCTTGCCTCAGTCACTGGATCCCTTAGACATTGAAACAGTGGAGGCAATTAACTGGGGGTAAGAATTTTATTTTTGTCTTTAATACTCAAAGTGACTTTACACCCTTCCCTGAAACTAATTTGATAGGTAGATAATGTGTATAAAATATCCCCCCCCACACACACAGGCTAAAGCCTCACAGGCAGAGCTGAGATAGAGATTGTAGCACAGTGGTGTACTTTGGGTGTTCAGTGTGCCTGTGATTTCTGACATGGGGCCAGGTCTGCCTGCCAGTCCCTGGCAGAGATTCCTCAGGGGGCAAGTTTTTCCACTGGATTACATCAGCAGTTTCTAGTGGTGTCACTGTAGTATCAGGTGTGGATTAATATTCTCATGCAGATATCAAGGATTTAGGAAGCATAAACTTCTCACTTTACACAGTGGGCATCATAAGGTGCTGTGAGGGGCAGGAAGGGTCTATTTGTTAACAGGCTGTTGCAAAATTTTTGCAGCAAAAAAGAAGAAGGAAAGAGTTGCTGCATAAGTCATCAGCATGAAGCAAAAGATACATGCCTGTTATCTTAACTGCTTGTAATTTACATTCTTAAAATATTTATCTTCCCCACTCTGCCTTCATTATTATGAATTGCTGTTGATCTGTTAGTACTGAAACAAAAGTAGGTATTTGCAAAATGCCTAGCAAAATTTCTTCTGGTTGGAGTTTGAAATTAGAAGGGGAAAACCCACAACTTCAAATTGTGGGATAAATAAACAGTAGAGATTTTTACCAAAGAAAGTGGTGTATTTGTTATTTCTTACAGCCCTTAAATTGAGATAGATGTTTCTTTCTGAAAGATAGTCTAGTTCAGGTATACACTGTTTGGTTTTGGTCGACTTGCCTGAGGTCACATAGTGGAGAAGAACAATTGCCTTCATTTTATGGTTCTGTGACTACATGAGTTACTGATTCATTTTCAGTAGTCTTTGTATTCAGGGAGAACAGACTTGGTGATCAGTTTTCCCTTCTTACTCCAGAAACACTTAACCAGAGTTCCTGTGCTGTACATTCTGTTTCCTTTAGCATGTACTGAGTTCCTGTGTTATGATGGCACTGCCAGCTCCATAGAGATCAGCAGAAAAGCTTTTTTAATGTTCCCTTCATTACAAGTAGGTCATTAATTATTCTGTTAGGTTTAATAAGAATGGAGTCCAAGATTCTTCAACTACTTGTAGATTAAATAAGTATTTTTTTCTCTGTGTGCTCTAGTTTGGATTCCTACAGCCACAAAGAAGATGCATCTGCTTTTCCAGGGAAAAGAGCACTGATTTCATTTCTTTCTTGGTTTGACTACTGTGATCAACTCATCAAAGAAGCGCAAAAGGTTTGACATGTGTTCAGATAATACAAATATATTCAGAAAACAAGTCGTTCCAGTTGTTTCCTAGCTTCTGAGTTTGAGACACACCATTTTGTACTTTTGTTTCAGACAACTGCTGTTGCTATGGCGAAAGCTGTGCGGGAACGATTCTTCATTGATGTTATGGAACCTCAGCTGATGCAAACGTGAGTAGCATCCTACAAGAAACAGCAGAACAGAATCTGAATCAAGCTGATTTTTGGGGAGCGGAAATCCACATCTGATATGAAAATGTTTCATTCAGTTCAGAGATTGGAATCCTCACGTCAACTGCACTATTGCACCGCATTGTTCGTCAGGTGACCTCGGATGTCCTGCTGCAGGAGCTGGTGTATTTTATACTTGGGGAGCAGAGAGAGCCAGAAACACTGACAGACATCAACAGGCACCCACTGCGGCACAGGCTGATCGAGCACTGCGATCACATTTCTGATGAGGTGAGGGCTGGTCTGACACAGGAATGTCTGCTGGCCAGGTCTGCAGTGTGGAGAGTCTGTAAAGATAAAGACACCATTGTGAGGACTTCTCATATTTGTGTCCAGTAACATTTTTTCCCCAAGAAAGAGAATTATGGCTCCTGGCCCTATAAATTCTAGAAAATGAAGTCAAGGTGTTTTCTCCACCTAGCAGTATTTCCCTTTTTTTTT